AACTCAAGCTTCCCATCGCAAATTACTGTAGCCAAGTTTGAGACGCTAGGCATCAACATTTAAACTTATCAAAACTGATGTTCCCTGGCAATTGTCTGTGTGCGTGCTCCATGCTGTACGTTCAGATGGATTGCCACATATTAATTAAGGCATATCTTAAACAATCTTGCATTAGAATAGACGGGGAAAAAACTACTACTGTTGCATTATGAAAAAGATGTTAATTAAGTACTGTAACAGGACAGACTACCTAGACAGGCTGTGAAATCCCTCTTCACTGGAGATTTTAGAGATGTTAGGCAAACATTGTTATCTGTACTTACGCAACCAGACCATGGAGGAAACAGAAGAGAAATCACTTCCAGCCTTATACTTCTGTGAACTTATGTTTCAGAGAAAGAAAAAAACTAAACCAAAAAAACCACAGAAAATCAGTTTGAGTATTGAAATGTTGGTGTTTTGGAAAACAGTTCTTCTATTTCACTTGTTTTCAAATTCAAATTCAAGCAGTAAGCAGTTCCACTATACCTACAAGCTTAGAACTGCCCGTAAGCTATGTACAGGTCCTTGTCCTACCCAACATAAAGCATCACTAAGCCTGTTTTATTCCAGGCATAAACATTTTGTTCCAAATGAAACTTTACGCATCACTTACACACAGCCCTGGCTGGGAAAGTTACAATTCTGCTCAGAAAATGACAGCACATGTTCATGGCACAGCCAGACTGAGTCCAAACACAATATAGCTCCAGTGACAGCCAGCCATGCACTCTATTGTTAGAAAGAAAACATTTCTGAGGAACCTAACATACCGACTTTCTCACCCCTCTGGTGAGAAAGGCAGAGGAAGGTGGTATCTGCCAAGGAAACAATGCCACTGACTATAGAGACTACTGAGAAATACTTAATGGAATATAAAAAGGCAGGGGGACAACAATGTAAATTCAACAAATTATTCTTTAGGGAAGTTTGTAATACATGCTACAGAGATGTCATCAAAATGACTTCATACAAAGTTCACCATAAGAATAATTGTAAGAAATACAGTTACACTTCCCTCTTTGTCCAGGGTGAAGTGAGGTTTGCCTCCCTTCATCAGAGAAGGATAGGCAGACAATTTAGCCAAACTTTTACACATGGCTCCTTTGAGGGTAGAACCATTCATACTGAAACAAGGTATCTGCACAATGTCTCAGGGCTTGAAATTTGGGCTCCTCGGACATCAGATGAGTGCAGCTTCCATTTCCTCACAGGCTATGCCTACGCCACACAGTGCAGTACACAAGTACTGAAGTTTGCTTGGAAACTGGTAGCGGCTGGGCTGAAATACCACAGAGGTTCATACAGGTTGATTTAGCTAATGGGAAAAAGGATCTCCTCAGCGGGGTGAATGGCTCCGTGCAGAACCCTGCGCTTTCACAGTTACGCTGTTTCTTTACACAACTAGACAGTTAATGAAGCCCTGGTCCGGCGTACAGGCTGCACTTGTATGTGTGGTTATCCATCAAGCATACCAGTCGTGCCCCTCAAGCAAACAGTCTGTTTCCATCTGCTAGGCTAATATTTCTGAGACAGCTCCCAAGTCAGACAAAAATAAATTTAATTTTTAGTGTACATCTGAATGAGCCGTAAACAATGTGTATAGGTCTATTAAAGAAGTAGAAATTGGGGTGCAGATAGGTTTAAAAAACCTGTTTAATATGCAAGATACATACAGTCAGTTATTAATTGAAAACACTGAATTAGGACTGAGTTGAGCAGCCAAAGGAGGCTTTTCCTCATGTCACACAATTCATATTTCAAATTACATTGAGACACTAAAGTAACTTCAACTGGCAAGAAAGAATTGGATAAAGATGCTTCAGTTCACTCATGTTAATTAATAATTAAAATTATCATTAAAAAAAAATACTTCAACTCTATCCAGTTCCATTCAAACTGAAAATTTTGCAGCCCTGTGGAACCACATACATACAGACTTATGGAAAGATTCCCAAAGATAAAAGGATATTCTGTTTGCTTTAATTTTCACTTTATACTTTCCGCAAATAATTTACACATTAGACAACGGAATACTCTCTACCCTGGATACGTATAAAGAAGGAAAAGTGGTTTAGTATTGCATATCACAGAAGGCACGCAAGTGAAATGAGGAAAGATTATATCTTTAATATGAGGTCCATAGGAACACCCAAACAGAATTCTTTAGCAATACCGAGGAACAGCTCAAAGGTTCACTAACCACCTCTTCAGGTACAACCCTCACAATTAACGCATCCAAATCCTCTAAAATGTACGGGCATATAAATTTATCTCATAGTTCTAAACAAGATTTATAAAGAAGTATTTGGAGTCATCTGAGAAATAAAGAACAAAGTGCCACAAATTATTTTTTTCCAATATAACTTTTTAAACCCCTCAAATTTTTACCTAAGACTAGTACTGGTAAAACGTCCTTACTGTAGCATTTCTCTTTACAAGGCCTAATATATGATCTAAATACAGAGTTACCAGATACCTGCTTAAGATCTGGATTTTATGGAGGAAGCCAGTAATATTTTCCCCCTAATAATCAGCAAATAAATATGAATCTAGAACTAGTTCTTTATTACATCTTCAGTTACAAAGGTGAATGAAGAACTACCTTCTTTCTTCATTCATACTCCATGAGTGAAACTGTCACCTACAGACTCACTGTAAGATTTTTTTTTTTGTTGTCTTCTTTATCATCTTTACATCTTTCCTTTCCTGCCCATACTTAGCCCAGATCTTTGTGGAGCTCTCCCCCAGGAGGTCCAGATAGTCTCCTCCAGACAGAAACTTACAAACCTGTTATGAAAATACTTTCACTCTGATGTCATGATTTTGCATTTATAAACACTCAATTCTATACACTGATGAGATATAGTATCCATTCGCTCATCAGAAGTAAAAATTAATAGGAGTTTTCAAAGCTACAAAGGCTTTTCACTCTGATGGGAGTGTACAGTTCATGCTCTGGGGGAGGGGAAGAGAAGAAAGTGTTGGCTCTTTCATGAACATAAAAGGGCAGAATTACACATTAGTGTAGCTTCCCCATGTATAGACATTTTTTTTTTCTGAAATGCAGTATAAACTTTATAAACAGTATAAACTAAATCAACCGTTAGTTACTTTAACTAAAGCTCAAATCAGCTATTTTTACAGAGGATTATGACCAAGGTTTTTTAAAACGTGGACTGGTAAAATTTCACAATTAAGAAATAAACCATGATGGGAAAATAGGTTCCTACTCACAAAACAACCAAACAAGCTGGCATCGTTAATACCCTTTTAACAAGGCAAAACCAGAACTGACATACCAGGAATGCTGTTTCCAGGTCAGGATTGAGGTGAATTGGCAAAACCGTGCAAATGGGCTCATACCACACCTGCCCAGCCCTTGGCCTGGTTCAAATCTGTACTTGCCCCTTCAGTAACCCTTCTCCTGTATCAGGGCAGAGAAATTACTAGCTGACTCAAGTTTTCACAAAGGGGGGAAAAAAAATCCTATGCTTTTTAAAAATTATATTTGAAAGAGAAGTTGAGATGCTGGGCATTCTTGATTCACACGTGCTTTAATATGAAGACTTTCGACCTTCAAAAGTCCCCGCTTGGAGAGAAAGAAGAAAAAAAAAAAAAAAAGAAAAACACTGCTCAGAAACTACCACAGAGAGACATTGCAGACATCAATCTAAAATAATGGCAGTCAAAGGTCAGGATGATATAGGCAACATCAATCTTTTCATTTAAATATCTTCCTGAAAGAGACCTCTTAAAAAGCAGAAGCAAGAAAATCAGGGACTATCCAGTCAGAGCAATGAAGAAACTGCCTAAACATGTATAATTTACAGGCTTTTCCTAATAATGACACCAAGTATCTTCAACTTTGACAAATAATTCAATTTTAAGACCTCACTGAAATGTACTATGGAAACTACCATCAGCTTGTTGGGTCATCTCAGCAAGCTCCAGCAATCTTCTTACAAGGATTCATTTATGAATTGTACACGTCAGATTACAAAAGAGCACTAAAAGAAAAGCAAGCACTGCAAATTGGATCCCGATTAGTAAAAAGACACCGAAGTCCTAGGAGTCTTCAAAAACTGCTGGAAAAATGCGTACAGTAAGAAGAATTGCTATTAGTGCCTAACAAAGCTGGGTAACGCTCAGAAGGCTCCAACACGCTAATCTGTCACCATGACAGAAAACCAAAGGATGCCAGACCAATACACATCTCTCTTCCAATATCACGGCCAAACATCCTACATATCTGACGCTGAGCTTCCAAGCAAAATTAAAAACACGTCTAGAGCATGCAAAAATATGAACAGGGATGCTCTTAGCATATATGCTTCCAACTTCTTGTTAAAAAAAAAAAAAAGTACTCTTCGAGATCTTTCAGCATTCCTCAACAGCGTTTTGAGTTACTGTACTATAATCACAAGTGACAATAGAAATAGCTAAATTTTTGTCCAGATCTCTCCTCCAAGAAAAAAAAAAAAATATACATTACAGTAAGTCTGTTATAAAACTGCAGCACACGTTTAAGGCCCCTAAAAGCACCGATGCTGATAAAATTAAAAATGGCTGTGCCCAAAGATCCCACAGCAAAACAGGCACAGCTTTACTGACGATTAAAATATATATTAAAAATTCCTGCATTACCTTACAAAGGGCGAGGTATGCAAAACAAAAAGATTATATATTTTTCCAAAATTGAAATAAGTTATTAGACAAGAGAAGCAGATCTAGGGAAAGCATACATCTCCAATGCAGGTCGAGTTCATTTACACAATAAAGCAAGATTTTATTCTCCGAGACGCTTAAGGTATCGGGATTTCAAAACTTCATCAGGCTTCGCCGCTGAAATAGATGCACACCACTTTTTAAGGAGACACAGATGTGCCCACATACCAGCGGACCCCACCCCCCTTCCCTCTGCCAAAATGGCTAGTTCGTTACACCCACTGGCTACTTACCAGCCGCAGTGCTGAGCAGCAGGGTGGCACTGGAGAGCAAGAGCACCAGCACAAGGTGCTGCAGTGAGGCAGTCATACCTGGGGAGGCCAAGGATCGAGGCAGGAGAAAAAAAAAATAAAAAGAAAAAAAGGGAAAAAAAAAAACCAAAACCAAAAACCCTGACGAGAGGAATTTCCTCCTTCTTTCGCACAGCCTTCCTCAACTCTCTCGGCTTACAATCCCGTCTGGAAGGGCAAGCGGCGGATGAGAGGAGCCGTCGTCGCTCTTACTCCATTACAGCCGCCCGCCTTCATGTCTCGGGAGCCGGCACCGCTCCGCGGACGCTGGGGAAGCGCCGGCTTCTGCCTCCCAGCCCCGAGGCATCTCCCCCCGCCGAGGCGCGGCGGCACGCTCCCCACTGCGC